ACTACTACTACTACTATTTCATGCCTAATCATAATCACTGTTACTACATGATCTCAACTTGAAATACTTCATTATGTGTAGTAGGAGAAAAACATTAGATCAAATTATCTGTAAACGATCATTTACGGTCGGTTAGATTAAAAGTGGATATATGATATAACTACAATTGATTGATCACTGGGTGGTGATCAATGTCATGTGTGTCAAGTCCTTATTTAGTGCAGATCGAATGCTATCGACCATGTTGCAATGTGGCCACCAGTCTAGGTGACTCGACACTGCGTGCTCTATATATTCAGATTAGATAGTGGTTGGAGGTAGTCGACAGGAAACCCTGGACTCACCCAGTTATCAATCAATTATGATTACATCTCAGTCCTACAGGAGTTCAGTCGCGGCCCGGATAGCTCAGTGGTAACGTCTCTGACTGTGAAGCTGGGTGTCACGGGATAGAACCCGCCAGGCAGCACCAGTTCCCTCAAGATTATAGGTACACCTTACTGACGAGTGCCAAGTAGCACGAAACCCGGGCCCAGGGTTTCCTGTCAACTACCTCCAACCACCATCTAATCTCAATATGATATAACTAATACTTTTATAAGTAGTTCATTCATAATCTTGGAAAATATTTAACAAATGAACATATCTAAACAAAACAAAAATAATACCTTGGCAATAAGAAAATAACAACCGATCATTAAACCAATTATGACGTGCAAAAATGTACAAAATCTATTAAAGTACTATAATATCCACAAGACTCCTCTCAGATTATAATCATCACATGTTCACTAGTGACGATCTCCAAAAGGTATTTCTTGGAGTTCTAGTGAGAACCAGTAACCACTCGAGTTCAACCGAGTCTATTGTGAAATAGTAACTCACTGACGACAATGGTGGACGATGGTACTCCATTTTGTGGATTATTTGAAGTTAGACATTAACACTATTGGATGCCGGTTGGCTTAATGGTCTAGAGGATAAGCACTCACGCGCGAGACCGATAGGTGTTGTGTTCGAATCTCGCTGAGTGGGATGGTGGATTTGCACTTCTTAAGAGTCCCATACTGGAGCAAAACGGTCATCGAGTGCTTTCAGGTTTCTCATGGTGGTCTAACTTCAACTGACTCATGAATTCATCTACTAAAGTACTAAAAAAATTATAGATTTAATTAGTTTCCTAGTGAAAATCAATAAAGTAAGAGGATTAATCTTTTATCCTTAGTATTATCGATTTTACAATTATATTATCTCACTTCCTAAGTGTTATTATAATCGATATATAATCATATGCTTAGATTACAATATTTCTCTTGTATAATTCAATATTAGAAACCAAGTGTATTATGTCCTGATTAGTGTGATTTCAATCTATGGACAAAAAAAGAACAAAGAACACGTTTCAATTATATAGTCATTGACATGTGACTTACAAAATGCATGTAAAATAGATCCTTTTTGTTTAAAAAAAGTTCTTTTAATATGGTCAATGTCATTTTCTGACACAAGGTATTAGGGAATGATGGTAGTTTAGTTGATGAGATTATGAATCTTCATCGACTGAGATGATTAGGCACATGTTACGTATGCTTGAACATTGATTACCACGACGTGCAATGCTGACAAGTGTTGGAGATGGTTGGAAGAAAGTTAGAGGGGGCGGTCAAATTGGCCAAAATATGATATCAGTTCACAAAGTCACGAACTTCTAATCTAAACCATGTTGGTTAATGCAGACTACTTGGTCGGAGTGCGCGTGATGACAATCGTGACCAATGGTTGTAGACTGTGTGTGACATGGTTCAGAATCGATCACAATGGTGTAGGTGCATACACTCTCTATCTTCCCTTAAATTAAGAGATTGAAATCGCTTCATACTTTCTTTCTACGAACGATTTTTTTCTTCCTGTACTATATCCTTATTACGACCTTTCTTTTATATATTACTATCATTAAAGTAACCACTATGAATTTGGTATTCATCTTACTGTGCTAATGAGGTTTGGCAACTTGGACCGATGCATATATGTGACTGATCCTACGTTGTAGTTGACTGACTGACATTTGCTAACGATTAAATAAAATTTTAAAGCTTTCCATAATTAATTAAAGTATACGGATCGATAAATGTGAAGGGTAATGCAAAAAATCAATTTGGAATTTAAGATCTACATTTCGTTTACTTTGAAGCCTGTTAATTAAATTTAAGGAAAAAATGCAAAAATATTTTGTGAAATGTGTGTAAAATCTCAGTCTTTGATTAGTTTATAGGGTTTGGTGAAGTCAACGTATCAGTCAGTAGTTGAAGAGGGAGAGTGATTATGAATACATTGATCTCGAATGGTGTTGGAAGTACGAGGGTGGTTAACACTTCGCGGTTGCTCACTCCCTGGAAGGGTTATTCTAGAGGTAGCTGAAAAGAAAATTGGGTTAGGGGTGGCCTTAGTGATCTGAGAGCGTGACCCCAGTGCTCAGAGCACTACTGTTTGAGGGAGGTCACACACGACCTTTTTGTGAGTAATTTTCGTGTTAACTCCGTAATTGTTGAGACCTTACCGTCGGTGACAGATATCCGTGGGATAAGGTGAGGTGTGCATCTTTAGAGTCGACCTTTTCTAACCCCACTCTTCCTCGTGGGATGGCAGCATCGCTATTATACTGGTCGTCTGAAGGAAACACCTTACTGCTGTCACACCTCTGTACAGTCAGCAGTACAACTTCGCCTTCGGCGCTTGGGTTTGCTGCTTTTATTCTTAGCGTTTTTCAACCTACCTGCCTGGTATAGTAGAATCTTGAGGGACGATTGTTCCAACCGTTATAGCTCGACCGGTTCATTACTATAGGCAAGCCCGACCGCCACATCAAAGTAGCAGAAACGGTCAGTAAATCAATGTGTACCAGCATTTGTTTGATGAATATTAGTTGGACAAAGCATGAATGATCATTTGATAACATTTGTAAGTTATAAGTTAAATAATGTACACCTGAATAGCTAAAGAAGTCTTCAACACCTTATGGAAGCTACATGGATTCAAATAGAAAGATGAAAGTATTGTACTATAAAAGTATTGATATGATTTTCTTAAATCCAAAAGACATTAACACATTCAGTCAATAGTGTAAGCAAAATTATCAACATCATGGTACAATTTGCTAATGTTAGCTGGTTGAATAAAATTAATAGAAAGGTTTCAATTTAAAGGTTTCTCTCTAGCTTGTGGTATTCAGTAAACTGTACCTACAAAATATGCGTAACCAATGCCATCAGTACGATTAAAACCAGCTTCAACCATTATTTCTATCATAATCACTAATAATGAACTATTCCGAGTTTGACTGATCCTGTGTAGCACTGGGATATTCACAGAAATTAATCTCTGTGTAATCGATCTTGTATTTCCTGGTCCTTATTTCAGCGCAAGCTCAATATCTCAAGTTTTAATATGGTTATTGGTCTTAATGGTTTTATATTATTGTGTAGATATTAAGTTATTCGGCTTAGGAACAATAAGGACTCTGAGTGACAAGTTTGGATCTCACGAGTGACAGATATAATTTTCTGTAAAGTCCCATCTATCATGAAATTTTGGTTCAGAGTCTCTTAATAATCACACGACTATAATCAAGTAAGTCATTCAAACAAGTTACTCTATGGAGATCGAGAAAACATTCACTTTGTATTGTTTCTTTGAATCTTCCCATTGATATTTAAGGTTGCAATTGATCAGTCTGTTATTGGCGTATATGTATACTGTGCGGATTACCTCGATATTTTTTTAATTCACAAACATTATAAGTAAAGATGAATAGTGGCTAACAGTGGAATCCAGGACGTGCATTTTGTCCTGTTTAAGATTCGTCAGATGGATATACCTATATCTCAGAGTTGAAGAGCACTCCACGACTCGAACCCAAGACTATTCACTTCAAACGTCATCGGGTTATTCACTTAGCTACTGACTCCCGATATAGCCATCTGCTTATGCAATCATATGAAGTTTATATTCACTTGGTATTGTTTTCTTAAATCGTAAACTGTATCATTTGAAAAAATCAACTAGCAACTAACACTACAAGTGTATTTATGAATAGAAAAAAAGCAACAAAAAAAAGAAGTTAAAACTGATCTACAAATCTAGTAACTAAATAGATAAACAAATAAAGGAAATAAAGAAAGAAACACAATCGATTACGTAATCTTTCTTTTATTCCAGAATAAACTACTCTCTTTACAAGTGTCATGTTTTGTTTTGTTATCTTTGAGTCACGTTTTTGGTTGCTTACTTAAATTTGATTGTAGTGGGAAGATTGTTTTTTTCTAAAAAAAAAGGCATAAAAGTAGTTGTCAAGATGGGAATTAGAGATGATGTAATAATTATAATAAATGGGAATTGGTAGATCATGACAATGATGATGAATTTTGTTTTTTTTTTATTATTTAAAAAAAAACAAACAATGTAATTGGTATATAAAGTAGACGATAAGATAAATGATGTGCGTGCGTGTGTGTGTTTGTGTGTATGTGTTTCTTTTATTGATTGATTGATTGATTGATTAAATGATGGATGGATACAAAGGGTTCGAACAAACGGTAAAAAAGAAAGAAAAAGAAGAAAAGGTCACCAATATGCGATGAAGTCAATTGTTATTTGGAATTTGAAAATGTATGTCTTGTTTTGAATGATGCACACTAAAAAGACGAATTCAAGCCGAAATTTGGTTGAAAAAATCAAAACAGAAATACAATTTTTGTCTACTGTCGAATGTTACTACTACAGGCACACATAAATCTATCTATCTATCTATCTACCTATCTATCTATCTATCTATCTATCTATCTATCTATCTATCTATCTATCTATCTATCTATCTATCTATCTATCTATCTATCTATCTATCTATCTATCCGCACATCAATCTATCTATCTACTATTGATGTTTGTTGTCAGTACATTATCTAAATATAGGTAAAAACAAACAAAACAAAAAAGAACTTGTATTCAACCTGAAATGATGTGTATATTTATTTAATTCTGTTTAATGAATACAAGAATACAATAGAACAAATAGATTGTTATGCATACATATTTTAATTATTTTATCTTATACAATTCTATTAAACTATGTGCATAATAATTAAATAAATAAATAAATAAATAAATAACCGAAATGTCACTCAATTACAAGTTAGAAGATGTAAACAAACATGTTGTGCAATGAAAGATATGTACGTTTATTGTATACACATGTATATTGATATAAAGATTCATCATTCAATTGAATGAGTATGATAAAGTTTTGTTTTTGTTTTTGTTTTTTTGAACTGAATAGATGAGTTGTGGAACTTTCATTTATTCTCTTCTGATTAAATATCATCAGAAGTGTACAAATTTCTTATATATATATATAACTTATAGCTTTTCTTCAGGATGTCAATGTATTTTGATGATGATATCGTTCAGAAGAAGCTTCACAACTCAATTATCTAGTTTAAAGAATAAAACTTCATTAAAATACACACCCACACACATATATCGTTTCTTTTCTTTTCTTTTTTGTTGTTGTTGTTGTTCTTTTTCTTTTTCTTTTGTTTTTTTAACTTTTTTTTTAAAATTTATATTAAATTTTGTTCATTTTTTTTTATTGTAAAATGTTTTCTAAAAAATTTCATCACATTATTAGCTGGTGTTTTTAATACTGTAATAGAATTTTTATGTTTTGGTGAATGATTTGATCCTTTTCTTTGTAATATTACCATACGATCTAATCGTTCACGTTCTTTTTGTACATTTTTTTGTTGTTCTTTAATAGAAATTAATATACCAACTAATAAATCATCAACACGATGATTAATTGATGTAGATATTTCATAATAATTACATGAATAGATTTGAGCTAAATTCTTTCCATCTATATTTCAATAAAAAGAAAAAAAAATATATGAATTACATAAGAACATTGATAGGTAATTGAAATATTATAATATATATAATTACATTTTAATGAATAGTTATTACAAAGGTTGAAATCATGAGTCAGTTGAAGCTAGACTGCTATGGAAATCCTGGAAGCACTGGATGACTGTATCGTCCTAGTATTGGACTCTTCAGCACTGAGCATCCACGATCCAGCACCCCGCGAGATTCGGATCAAGGATCTACTGCTTTCGAGCACGAGTAATTAACTACTAGACCACTGAGTCGGCATCCAATGGTGTTAATGTCTAACTTCAACCAATCCACGAAGTTGCACCACCGTATACCATTGTCTTCAGTGAGCTGATATCTCACAACAGACCAGGCTGAACTCCACTAGTAACGGCTTCTCAGTAGAACTCCACGATTATCTCCTGAAGTCTAGCTTCAATTGACTCATGATTTCAACTTGTGAAATTTCTAAAAATCTCCACAAAACCCATTCTGAGAATAGTTATTACATTGTATTATGCAACACCGATTACCACGATATGCAATGCTAACCGGTGTTGGAGATGGTTCGAAGAAAGTTAGAGAGGGTGGCCAAATTGGCCAAAACGTGACATCAGCTCACAAAGTGACGAATTTCTAGTCTGGGCCATGTTGGTAGATGCAAACTACTTTGTTGGTGTCCGCGTGACTATCGTAATCAATGATTGGAAACTCTGTGTGACACGTTTCGGAATCGATCACAATGGTGTAGGTGTATACACTCTTTGTATTCCCTTAAACTAAGAGATTAAAATCGCTTCATATCTTTCTTTCTACGAACTAATTCTTTCTTCCTGTACTATATCCTTATATGTAATCTTTCTTTAATATATTACTATCATTGTAGTAACTACTATGAATTTGATGTTCATCTTGCTGTGCTAATGAGGTTTGGCAACTTGGACCGATGCATATATGTGACTGATCCTACGTTGTAGTTGACTGACTGACATTGTATTATGATACTATTCAGTGGTAGGTTATTGATCAAAGTAATATGCAAAAATTAAGAAACTATGATTTATCATTTACTGTGTCTAATTCAGACAAGTATTAGTAACTCTTAAAGATTTTAAATGACTGTTAAATTGATATCGAGTTAGTAAATCATACGGAATATTGTAATATATAACATAATATCGTTGATAAAACCCGATTTTATTGATTATACTTCGGATCCATTAGTCAGACACAATCAGCAACAACCTACTATGAGAGAGAACAAACCAGACACCAGTGGAGGATGAAATCAGGAAGAAGCTCTGAAAGTGGATAGAACACACATTGAGGAAAGCATCAAAGTGCGTCACAAGGCAAACCCTCACATGGAATCCCCAAAGCCAAAGGAAAAGAAGAAGATCAAAGAAGAAATCGTGCCAAGAAATGGAAACAGACATGAGAAGAATGAACAACAATTGTATAGAACTGGATATGATGTCCCAAGACAAAGTATGTAATTTATTGATTATCCAACTTTGCATGATAGAAAATAATTGTGATAATGTGATGAAAATGACTGTTTATTCAATAAATTTTCTTGAAATATAACTAGTTACACAGTGTAACTTGAGATAAATAACTGCAAAATTCTATTATTTCATTAATAAATATACATAGTATATTGATGTCTTTAATATGTAGCAATACTCCTACGATGTATTTTGATTATGATTAACTTTTGTTCAACCCTTTTACTAACTTGTTCAACAGACAATGTTATTTGGATAGTAACAATTTGTCTATTTCTTTGTATGTTTATAATTAAAATCTTATCTGTATAAACGTGTACACCTGATCACATGTGACAGCCTACGCATATATTCCTCATTCTACCTCAAATACTAAACGATTAAATATCGCTCAATGAATCATTCTCTTTCCCCATATACATATATATACTTGAATCCTATTAATAGCCTTTACTGTGCCTAGTTGCAACTTGAGTCGATTATTCCGTAAGTATCAAGTCAATATCTATTCCATCATGTATTTCATGACTGCTTATTTTTGTAGATTTTATGATCTACATAAACTTTTGTATTCCTGCATTTATTGGATTTAACTCTGATCATGTTAGTGATAAATCTTATTAAGATGAAACGAAAAATTTGATCAGTATCGATATGTCTATGGGTTGCAGACTCATCCTAATTCTATACTTCTACAAATTCATTTGAAATTAAGATTAACATTGATCTGATCAATGTCATGCATATCAAGTTCTTCTTAGTGCAGATCGAATCCTAACGACTAAGTCACAATGTGACCACCACACTTGGTGACTCAACATTTCGTGCATTATGTTGAAATAAGATGGTAGTTGGAGGTATTTAACAGGAAACCCTAGGTTTCATGCTACTTGGTACTCATCAGCAAGGTGTACCTGAAATCTTAAAGGAATTGATGCTCCCTGACAGTTTCGATTCCATGTCACTCATCTTCACAATCAGAGACGTTACCATGGCCCAAATAGTTCAGTCGTATAATGTCTATCTTCAACTAATCCATGAAATTGAGCGACACATCTACCATTGTCTTCAATGAGTTACTATCTCACAATAGACTCTATTGAATTCCACTGGTCACGGTTTCTCACTAGAACTCCAAGAAATACCTCTTGGAAATCGTCACTAGTGAGCATATGATGAATGAAGTAAAAAAAAACAAAAGAACTTATGAATAATCTAGAATCTTGGAAAAAAATGTCGGGGGTTGGTGGTGAGAGAGAGGAAGAGGAAGACATAGAACAGAGGTATCAGCATCATTACCAAAACACTTTCAAACCATATCTTACAAGTTAGTAATTGTGACATACACATATTAATTTCATGTCTATCACATGATTAACACAATGAACTATTGATAGAACAATAAATAGGGAAGGATAAATGGGAGGAATATATGTATATACATATACATATATATACATCTATGTTGCCAGTAACTTGATTGAATACATAAATAAATAATGAAATGTTTTCTTGTTTGTTATTTTTTTTCGTTGTTTTTTTCTCTCTTTTAAAAGCAACAATCAGATAAAGAGAACTAAAGAGAAACAAAACTGATGAATAATTCATTAACATAACAAATGAATTAATTCAATTAGTTCAGTTTATTGTTGTACATAGATATACATCAGTGTTTTGATGGTTAATAGTAATGAATCCATATCATTTCATTTGTTATTCTTATTCTTAATAAAAAGAGAATGAAAATTAGTAGAATGATGTTCCGTGAATTGGTTAAACTTATACATGAATAATGATTGGATGTCAGTCGGCTCAATAATCTAGAGGTTAAATAATCGCGCGCAATACTGATAAGTGCTGGATTCGAATCTTATGGGATAGGATTGTTGATGCACACTGTTGAGGAGTTCTACAATAGGACGAAATGACCGTCTAGTGCTTTCAGGTTTTTCATCGTGATCTAACTTCAATTGACTCATGAATTCAACTATTGAAAAGTCTGATTGATTGATTTAAGTGTTCAAATTCGTTTCAATTCTTAATAAACTGAATTCAATTTTTTTTATTGAGATCATGAACTGATAGATTTTAGACCACCATTGAAAGACTAGAAGCACTGAATGGCCGTTTCGTCCAAGTGTGAGACTCCACGATCCCTAGGCTTTCGGTCTCGCGCGCGAACTTTGAACCTTTAGACCGATTTGACTTCTATTGCAAAAAACTATTGTAAACTGACGTAAAAAATGAACGAAGTTTTCAATTAACTTCTTTGTTCCAGTATAAGATAATTTTTTATGCTAACGATGTATGACATCTCTTTGAGAGTAAAATTATAAATTTTAGAACTTTTAAAGAGTATGTTATTCAAAGACTATCAAGTTGATGTTTATTAAAAAGATGTTTCAAATTTAGCAGTCTAAATAAATTAAAATCCTCCAAGAACTATTCATGAGGATAGTTTTGTTTCGATCTCCTAGAGATTTAGTGAAAACACTTTATCTGTGGAAGTAAGGAATATATCGATCGATAGTTTCCAAAGTTATTGTCCTTTTCAAGAAATATTAAGTCTTCATAAGCTAATTATGTGAACTGTTGTCATTTGTCGTCTCTCAAGATGAGCAGAGAATAGGAACAAAACTTTTATTTTAGAAAAACACTTGATAAAACGCCAAATAGAGGTAAGTTGCATAAGATTATCATATACCAACAGAGATTAGTCGAGATTCAGCCAACAATATCGAAGTTGATATGGTGTAAACACTTTCAAATCATGATATAAGCATCAAACCTGTAGAAAAAGCTGGCAGCAATCTGAACTCAATGGCTCAGCGAATAACTTATTGGTGTCCAAAATGATAGATACTAAATTAACATTAAAATGCTAATACATTCAGCAATTCAATCAGAAATAAGGTAGAACCTGTATCCTTGATGTCATTGCTGATCACAATCCATCTATTTTCCAAAAGCATCTGATTCACATCGAATATATAGTATACTTCAACAAAAAAGGTTTTAGTAACTTCATCTTGGTATTATGAAAGCTTTACGTAAAGAGAGAACAAGTTATCAGTATGGGGGTTTGTGGAGATTGTAGTATTTTCACAATTAAATTCACGAGTCGATCTGAGCTGAACCATCATTATAAACGTGAAAGCACTGGACGGTTGTTTCGCCTTAATATGGAGCTCTTCAGATGTGCGCATCCAATCCATATCGGGTGTGAGACAGATATCCACCTCAGACAATAGATAAATTGTTGCGTGTGATAATGAATTGACTGAATTTAAACATTAACACCGTTAGGTGCCGGTTCAGTTGTATACAGGTTAAGATCGAGAGTTCTGAATTCGAGTTTCGTGCACTGGATAATGGGTGCGCAACACTCAAGAGTCCCATTCTAGAATGAAACGGCCTTCGAGTGCTTCTATATTCTCAATGATGTTTTATCTCAGATCGACTCATGAGTTCAACTGTGAGAAAACAAACTGTAAATAATTTAACTTACCTTCACTAGATACTACTCGTGTTCTCACTAAATCAGATTTATTGGCTGCAAGTATTATAGCACTGGAACGTTTACATTGACTTAACAACAAACCGATTATTTTTCTTGCTGTATAAAATGAACCACGATCATCAACTGCGTATATAACAAGATAAGCATCGGCTGTATCAACAATCTATTTAGTTGAAAAAAATAAATGAAAAGAAACATTTGATACAATCATTAGAATAAAGCAAAATGTTAATTAGTGCATTATAAGCTAAAGTATTAACTCATAGGTATGATAAAGTATGATAAGAAATGATAATATATCCCGGGATTATATATATACTTTAGGTACATTTCACTTTAAAACAGAGTTATATAACGGTTAACAGTGGAATATAGGATGCATATTTTGTCCTATTTGAGAACCGATAGATGGATACATCAACATTGCCAGTGGGCTTTAAATGTATACAGTTGACGAGTCACAAATAGGATTAAGCGTACATCATGAATTCAATTGATATCAATTATCCTTCTCTATAAAAAATGCTTGTAGCCTGGTGGGAATAACGAAGCAGTCTGCAAAATAATTATACAATTAGTATCAGAATGAGTTTTGTGGAGGTTGTAGTAATTTCAATAGTTGAGATCATGAGCCAATTGAAGCTAGATCACTATGGAAAGTCTGGAAGCACTGGATGGTCATTTCATCCTATTGTGGGACTCTTCAACAGTGCGCATCCACAATCCCGCCTTGCGAGATTAGAACCCATCACCTATCAGTCTTGCGTGCAACCACTTAACCACTAGACCACTCTCCGTGTTCTCCCAAATTCCAATCTTCTGAGTTCTTCATGTCCCTTTTTTCCTCTTTCCAAATTTATTTCACTGGATTATACTCTTTAAATAACATCTCCAAACCCTAATCTTCCCGATTACTGCTTATACTCTTATTACCTCTACCACTACGGGATTTGAATCGACAACTGCATCTCTGTGCTAATGTGGTGTGGCAACTCGAACTGATGTACGTACGTACGAAGTTCTACGTTGTTACTGACTGACTGACTGACTGACTGACTGACTGACCAGACCACTGAGCCAGCATCCAACGGTGTTGACAATTGTGTTATACAATTGTCAAAAGAATGTGATCAATTACTGTACTTAACATCAACATCTAGAACAAAATGACCCTATAAAAGAATCGAAAATGAGTTTTAATCGAAATGTATTGCCAACTATTTAAGCTTCCCAGTATAAGTAACGAAATCAATGTTTTGTATTATCGTTAGGAAGAATAATTTCAAAAGTCAATTAAAAGTAATCTAATATAACATTGAATTATCAAATTTAGGATCACAGATCTCCGATTTTGACTCGAAATTCACTCACCCATTTGGCCAAATAGTATCTTGGCATTTTAGCTGATCTGTGATCGTGATGAAAAATTATAAATTTAATTCCTAATCCTAACTATCAACTATGAATCATAATCCTTATTCTTTAAACTGCTTTATCACCTACATTTAGTTAGTTCTAGTAACTAGGTAGACACTGTGAAAGTAACTTTGGCGTCGCGCATAGATTATAATGAACTAAATAAAAACATGTAACCAATTAGTTATTTCATTTTCAGATTTGTAATTTTGATAAAAATCTGATCATTTCATCTTATCAATTACCATCTGGATAGTAATCTATAGATAAGATAGAAAAAAAAATTACAATGTATATAACAATGAATGAAATTGTAGGTCTATAAAAATGATTAATCACTAAGAAAAACGGGTGGGTATATTCAACGTTTACAACTTTTCATCAATATCTGTGCTAACAGTTAGTATTACTTTGTCTACACGGATGGGACATTAATTTACCTTAGACGAATATCTACACTAGTCTCCTTCTCCCAGTGTCTATTCTACAGGACTTCAACACAACTCAGATGATCAAGAACACATCATTATTCTCGTCCACATATCAAACTCTATAAGGAATATAAAAAACTGACTAAAAGTCCTTGTAGAAATCATGATACATTGGGTCGACCAAGTTAATATAGAATGAGATAAATCGTTCATCGTTTGTTGTATACCCAATATGATTAAACAAAAGTTTTCATGGATTCGTATTATAGTGAACGAGAATACACAAGTAAGGACTAATCGAATGCATTTGAATACGAAATTACAGAATCTTTTAGTAAAATCTGTGTACCATACAGTAAATTTCTCATTTGTAAAATGTTAAACATTTGTCTCAGAATTCATTGTTCTTTCGTTTCCACATCAATCATTCATTGTTCTCGTTCTCTTGTCTTTGATCTTCGTAAACTTTTGCCTACAAGCATTTCACTTTCGATTGATGGTACATACTACTTATATCTGTCGACATCAGTAATACATACCAAAATACTAGTAAGAAATAATTCAAAATTTCTTATTTCAACTCATAATAGAATTGTGGTTGCATACTTTTGACGAGTCCTATCAAAGAGTGTATCATATTTTCATTGCAGTATACTATTCATTCATTATCTTAAGTTATTTCATGTTATGAACAATAAATCTAACAAACTCTACAGAAGCATTTCTAATAATAAATTTAATTTTTGTTATATCCCAAGTGAATAGGAGCGAAAAATGGCATTTCGGACGTTTCGTGACTTCATATAAGCCACTTCTTCAGAGTATATAAAACACATCAAAAGATTGATCAAAACAAAGTGAATATTTTATTCAGCTGTTCAAACTCATGTATAAATGTAACAAACTTTCAAGTTAATTTTTCACAACAAAAACAACAACAAAAAGAAAAACAAAAGGCTTTTCAAGCAAAAATGGATAGTGGCTAGCACTGGAATCTAAGAAGCGCGTTTCATCCTATTTGGAACTCGTCAGCTGGATGTACTTGCATCTTAGAGTTGATGATCACTCCGCGATTCGAACCCATTACCGTTCGATTCAAACGCCATCACATTATCCATTTACTTACTGAGTCCTGATAGCCACTTGTTTGTATAATGGGGTGGAGTTTGAATTCACTCACGAAACGCGCGTCCTGGATTCTACTGCTTAAAAAGCTTATGACTTTAGGCAATATCGAGGCAGTCCGCACAGGATTTATATATACCAACAAGAGACTGTTCAATTACAGTCCTAAATAACAATGGGAAGATACAAGTAATATCAGAAGGAGCTTTTGTGGATATTATAATAATTTTTTATGGTCGAGATCATGAGTCAATTAAACCTAGACCACCATGGAAAAGCTGGAAGCACTGAATGGCTGTTTCGTCCTATTGTGGGACCCCTCATCAGTGCACACCCACGACCCTGCCTCGCGAGACTCGACCCCAGGACCTATCGGTCTCGCGTGCAAGTGCTTAACCACTAGACCACTGAGTCTGTCGGCATCCAACAGTGTTAATATTTAACATCAACTAATCCACGAAATGAAGCGACACACAAGTAAATCAACGCCAATTCAATGTAAAAACAATAAACTCTACAAAATAATAATTCGTACCATCATGTGAATGTTTTAATCAGTTTAACTTTTCTTAAATTAAAAAAAGAATAGACAAATATTTATACTACTTAACTTCTTTTATTTCTAGTTTAATTTAGTAATATTCTTGTCTATTTTTCGTAACCATAATACTATAGTAACTATATCACAACATTGTTATCATAAATGGATCAGCTTGTTTATATTGAATACATATTTTCTAGGGAACTAAATTATTGCCTGGTTGACATAGCCTTGTAATGAATAACTGAATGGGTGGTATAACTACCTAATTGCATGCATACATACATACACACAAACATACTACATACATACATAAACATGTATATCAAAGGAGAATAAGTCAGTAATTTCGACTACGGAACAATGACAAGATTTGTTGAGATTATTTATGGATAGGTAAAGAAACAGGAAAACACAAGCTGATCAGCTGATAATATTGACGGAAAATTCAACATAATTATGCATTTATTTTGTTTTGAAATACTAAATAAACATGTAATAATTATCAGTATACGGTTGTGGAGATTGTTGAGTTAGACTATCATTGAAAACCTGGAAGCACTGGATAGGTGTCTAATCCTAGAATGAAACTTTTCAATCGTGCGCATCCACGATCCCGCACTTAGGACTTGAATGCAGGATTTTCGGTCTCACATGTAAATACTTGGAATCTGGACTACTGAGCCGGGATCCAATGGTGTTAATGTCTAAATTCATTAATAATTACAATGTAGAGTCACCATTTTGGAAGTTTGATATCAATAAATAATGTGTATTTCGATGAAGCGAAAATACAAAGCGCGTTAGTTTTGCGAAACGAATATTTCAAACATTTAAACATAGTTTATATTATGAACAGAAGTTTGTCAGATAATCAGTGGAAACTTATGATCGTACTGGAAATAAGAAAAAGACCTTCTACTTTATGGTGTGAATGGGTTTCTTTGAAAGCACAATGTTGAAATCCAGTAGTTTTCATCTCAAACTGTAATCCATTTGCAATGTAACGTGATAATCATACATGGCTATAGATATTTGTTACAATCTGGCGCCTAAACATAATCTTTAGATGGTGGTTTGAAGTAGTCGATAGGAAACCCTAGATCCGGGTTTCGTATTACTTAGCACTTGTCAGCAAGGTGTGCCTGTAATCTTAAGAAAGCTGGTGCTCCCTGACGGATTCGACCCCGTGTCGTTCATCTTCACAGTCAGAGATGTTACCACTGAGCTATCCGGGCCGCGGGTGGTGGCCACATTGCAGCTTGGTCGAAAACATTCGATTCGCATTAATAAGGACTTGATACACATGACATTGATCACCACCCAGTGATCAATCAATTGTGAAACCTAATCTTTCTCAAAGCTTATTACTTATGAGTTAGTTATTATTGTTAGAGTAGGATTTTTGTCGAAAATTTCCACGATATGATGAATGAATTGTCCAACCCTCCATGGTTTTCAGTTGTTGATCAGTAAAAGTCAGTCTATGATAAGAATCTGTTTGAGTAATAAGAACAGTGTATTACTAATGATCAAAATGGGATCAAATGTATAGTGTTTCACATATTCTCAGTATTACACAAGCCGATCGTAACTAAATAGTAAAGGAGATTCTACTATAATACTAAAAATAATCTTTTTTTAATGTAAGGAATTTTCAGATTCAATTCGTTTTTGTATTGCTTGTTTAAATCTTCCCATTGATATTAAAGACTGAAACTGATCAGTCACTTATTGGCATATACGCGTCCTGTTCGGATTACCTCAATATTGCCTTAAGTCACAAGAATTATAAATAGAGATGAATGGTGGATAACAGTGGAATGCAAGATACACATCTCATCTGATTTGGAACTGGTCAGCTAGATATACTCACATCCCAGAGTTGAAGTTCAATGCAGGACTCGAACCCAGAAGGTACATCGAGCTGACGAGTCCTGAATAGGACAAAACGCGTAGTCTAGATTCCACTGTTAGTCACTATCCATTTCTACTTATAATTTGTAGATTATTTAACAGCACTGAAGCATACACATAACTTCTAATAATACAATATTCAACAAAGCTTCATATTTAACTAATCAAACGGCGAGACTATAATTTATGGACGAACCAATCACGTATAAGATAACAAGTCTCAGATTTTGGCGCGAATTTCACTCATCCATTTGACCAAATAGCGTTTTGGCACTATAGCTGGTGTTAGTTCGTGATGAAAACATTGTCTCTTTCCTAACCTTAACCATTAACTGTAAATTATAATTCCGATTCCTCATATTGATTTATAACCTTCATTTGGTTCTGGTTATTAAGTGGACACTCTCAAGTTCAGTCTACCGTCGCTCTAAGGTCGTCCACAAATTATAGTCTCACCATATTTTCTTTAAATGAAATTGTAAAATAGAAAACATCATATTTTATCTAAATGACATTTATCCCATCTGTTCGAAAATTCAAATCTTGGCGTAGGTTTTAAATAATGCGAAAATACAAAACATTTTTTAATACATAAAGATTCCTAATTTTCATCTTCCTTTTTTTCTCAAGTAAAATCATCAAATTGTTTTATTTTTAATGTTGGAAGTTGGTGTTATTCAATAGGAAACTGTAAGCCTAAGTTTAATGCTATTTGGCACTTGTCAGCAAGGTGAACATGTAATCTTGAGAGAACTGATGCTCCTTGACGGATTCGATCACGTATCAGTCAATTTCACAGTCAGAGACGTTACCAGTGAGCTATCCGAACCGTGACTAACCTCCTGTAAGACAGAGGTGTATAAACAATTGATTTATGACTGGGTGGTGATTAATATCATGTGTGTCAGGTCCTTCTGTCAAAAATGCATTTCATTTATGAATCTGTGTCATTAAGATTAGAGTCATTGTTTTCTTTTTATGTTACAAAGTCTAGAATAGCAGACAAGTCGTTGGCAAACATTTAGTTCTCATCATAAGTTATTACATCAATCAGAGTAAAACTAAATGTTAGCAGTTAACTGAAATCAAACGGTTATTTTAATCTAAACGGGGTTTTGTGGATAATATAATGATTTCATAGTTGAATTCATGAGTCAATTGAAGCTAGACAACCATGGAAAACCTGAAAGTAACAGACTACTGTTTCATCCTACTATGGGACTTCTCAGCAGTGCAAATCCACAATTGGTTGAAGTTAGACACTAACACCACTGGATGCTGGATCAGTGGTCTAGACGTTAAGCATTCGTGCGCGAGACCAATAGGTCTTGAGTTCAAATCCTGCGTGCGGGATCGTTTATGAAGACAATTGACAATTACTTTCATACAACAACATATCAAACTGTAATTTGTTGACAAACAAAATGTAAACTAATCACTGAATAAGACTGTATCCTTCAAGTGGTTCAGATATAGTTGTTTCTCGGAATTTACCAATAAAACAATGTTTGGATATTTATAGAAATCAAATTTTTAGTTTTTAGATGAAAGATCAAATACAAATTGCAATAAAATGTCCGTTTAAAGACAACTATGCACATTATCTCATAAATTTTTGGTTTTGATTGGTAATATGTCTTGTGTTCTATGAAGGAATTGAAATTAATCTAATGGAGCATTATGGAATGGTTGATTTCTTGTTCACGTTTTGAAGTGTGTAAACACAAGCCTGTTGAAGTTGCAGGATATAGGCATATCTGAATGATGAGCGTCAAATACAACGAAATGCACGTATTGCATTCCACTGCTAGCCACCATCCATCTCTGCTTATAATAATGGTGACTTAAAGAAATATCGAGGCAATCTGAACTGAACGTGCATATGCCAATAACAGACTAATCAGTTAAAGTCCTCAATGTCTATGGGAAGATTCAACACAACCAATATATGATACTTTGCCTATACAAGTTAATTAAGATTATATTAAAGAACAAAACATAACGTAATCATTTGTATTTAACTTGATTTAATTATTCATCATCATCATCATCATCCATCTGACTATAAACCGATTCTACTAAACACTGATATGTATGTATATAACAAAAGTTTAGGAATTTGTCTTGTTGTTATTATTATTATTTCGACACATAAATATCGGTACAAGAGGACACCAAATATATATGCTCCACACCATATTTGTATGTATGGGCTGTGATACTGCCCGGGTGCTCAGACCGAAGCAGGTGATTTTCTTAGGGGGCCACACCCCGAGCCTTTGACCTAAAGGTCTGATCCACAAGGCAGTTGAACATCGTGAGGAGATGCATACCCATGGTAGCCAGTGACCAGCGATTGGTTCATACACCATTTGCTCCCGCAAAATACTGGAGCCCATGTGCACCATTGGTTTGGGATCCGGTTAAAGTGCCGAACATTCGCTTTTCGTCCTCTCAGTTTCGTAAACAAAATCCTCGCCACGATAAGGCAATGAGTTGTTAATTCTATAGGAAGATTCAATTGAATTCAACTAGTCAGTTATTAGGTAAAATTTATACTTTTAACTGTAGTCTAGACCACTGATAGAATTTAGTTTCTTTTTTTCTTTTTCAGTTAGAATATTGTATAGTTAAAATCAATAAGACAATAACAGTTGACATGAATATTTCCGGTTACATAATATATATGCAGAAAATGGTTGTAAGAAGTTTTTGAAGAGAAAGGTATTGTAAATCAGTAGACAAAAGTAGTAATAAAACTTGAAATATATAACAATATATATATGTATAATGATAGGAGACTATTTTCACCTACCACAGAGTTAAGTTCATCATCTGTATCTTCCACATTTATATCTGTTTCCATAAATACAAGACTTGCTTTCAAGTTGTTAATTTCAACTCTTACCGGATTTAATTGTTCATCACCATGAACTATATTAAAGAGAAAAAAAAGAATATAGGCAAGTTAATTAAGAAGATAATTTGATGTAGAATAACTTTAAAAAAGAAATGAAAACTGTTATATCCTAGTGAAGATTCAATTACGGGTATCTTCGGAGACCTATTCGTGGACTAATATTCTTATTGTATAACTATTCAGTATTGCTGTTATGCTGGTTGTGTGAAGAAAACACCTTAATGCCATTAAACCTTTGTATAGTCAGCAGCACAACTTTTCTCTCGGACCTTGGGTTTACTTCCTTTTAGTCTTACCGTTCTTCAATCAATCTACCTGGCGTGGTATGATCTTGAGAAACAATTATCCCAGGTAGTAAGTGTTATATCCTAGTGAAGATTGAATTAAGGGTATTCTCAGAGACCCTTTTAATGGACTAATATTCTATAAATATTCTTATTGTATAACTATTCAGTAACTGGATTGTGTATATCTATATTCCTCTTATTATAAGCTTCATTTTGACCTATAGATTATCATTGTACGATTTACTGTTCTTAAGTTATACTCAGCTTATTAATTACTGTCTCCCACATTCACAACCACTTTAGGCTATATTTTGTACGAGTGTTATGTTCTATTTTATGGCGCGTCATGGTCTGTTTGTTTGGTATATAAAATCAAAATGTCTGAAATAAATGTTTTGCATAGTGGAGGCTGTTACTGGAATTCTGGACTCAGCTGGACGGGTTAGGCGAGCAACGGACCAATAGGACGCTAGGCTGATCAGACCGAACGAACGTCATTGGTTTAGTACAGTATAAGAGCGAATAAGTCGAATTTTGATTGGCGAGTAGATTACGTAATAACTAGCGGGTCATAAAGTCGCAGCCAAAACCGCTAAACAGTTAGGAATGCACTTTAATATCGAATGGTACATGTAAGGTGAGACTGGGTTATCTATATTGTAAACGTGATACATCTTGTGAACGCAAATGATTTTATAAAGAATTGATGAAAATCACATAATTTTCTAGTGAATATCACGAACTAATTAACCTTTGAAAATGTGGAAGTATTGGATAGCTATTTTGTCTTACATATGAGATTCTTCAATGGTGAGCGTCTACATCCTCATTGAATGTTGAATTGAGAATTTTCACATCTTGAAGAAAGTGTTTAATATTTGAACCATTGATCTATTCTATAATAGCTTGATTGTTTAACTCCAATTCATTCATGATATTTGATGATCGTCTCACAGTGGTATTGATGAGTAACTACCATACACTCGACATTGCTATACTATACTAGAATTCTAAGAAGCATCTCACGTAATCAGTAGTCAGTGATCGCATCAATATTATTTTGGAGACTGTTGGACTTTATAGTCAACATCACGGTTTGATGATAACGAAACGACTATTATAATACCGAAACCAGTGTTTCTACACTACTGAATAGTCCCATACTATGATAATACAACTATACAATCCCTTCTAGTTTTTAATGATTGTTTATCCAAGACCAAACTGTAATGTTAACTATAAAACTATTACTATTACTATTGATAGTTATTAAAAGTATTATGTAACAGAAGTTTATAAAAATTAGAAATATTTATAACTTCCCTAGTTTGGTTATCTTCCATAATGTTACCAGTTAAGTACAAGAGAATCTGAGTTTCAAATTTTCTAACTCATGTACCTGCATATCAGAGTTAATGTTCACTATAGGACTCGGACTCAGTACCATTCACTTCAAACGATATCGCGTTATCCACTTTGCTACTGAGTTTTGATAGCCACTTATTTGTGCAATGAGATTGAATTTCAAATTGTCTAACTAATGCTTATCAACAATGTTTTATAGAAATTGTCAGGATTTGGCACCGTACGATTGATTAAGTAAAATGTATTAAAAAAATGGTAACTTCAAAACTAAAGTTTAATGATCAATAATTAAAGAACAAAAACTATGACCGCTATTAATGATCATAAACAAAAAACATTTCCAAACAAATGATGCTCTTGCTTGATAAAAGATACACAAGATGATCAACATTTGTATAGTAGAACACTTTACAGATTTCAAAACCTTTATAGCGTTTTCTTTAGTTATCAGTATAGGGTTCTGGAGCTGTGACCAGTGAGGCTAATTCGTGTCGGGTAGAGACAGGTAATTACCTCAGAGCAATGAAGGATGGTCACGCAATTTCATGGATTTGTTTAGGTTAAACATTAATACCGTTAGATGTTGACCGGCTCCATGGTCGAAAGCTTAAGCGTTCGTGGACGGGACTGAAGGTCCTGGGTTCGAATCCTGCGGGCGGGATCGTGGATATGCACTACTGAGAAGTCCCACAATAGGACGAAATAGCTGTCCAGTGCTTCTAGGTTTTCAATAGTGGTCTAACATCAATCGATTCATGATCTAAATCATTTTCTTTCATTATTGATATTAATCAGTCAGTTATGAACAACAAAGAATCTTGAATGGTTGTTCAGCAGTCAAAAAAGCCTTTTTTCTTATTACACATCTATAGTTAAACTGAATATTACTAAGGTGAAAATCGAATAGACTTGAAACAATGAACAGCAATAGTTTAAGAAAAGTTAAACACTTTAATTTTATCAATGTTTTCAGGGTAAAGAAATTCGATGATAATTTGAAAAATAGTAAAGATTTACAAAAGAAATAAGTAATGAATTTGGGATATTATGGTATATGCTACTTATGTCGACAGATGTAAGTATTAGGTAAAACCAATCAGAAGTGGTCAACTTGAAGAAAATAGAAAGAGAAATAGAAGGGACTTATGAATTGAAAGAATCAGACGACGTGTGAATGCCAATTCATGGACCAATTGAAAATGAAGTGTCCATTATATGATTTTCAGATTTTACTAAGAGATTTTGTTATTTTGTATTCAAATACATCCGATTAATGAGATGGTAGAGAACCAAGAACCAGTTTACATCGAGGTCTACAGGAGAAGCTATGAACCACATGTAGAGAAGTTCGAACACTTCACTTCTACTTGAAGTTTGTGCTGATGATGTCGTTCAGAAGAACGATGAAAGCTCCACGACTAAACCATCCAGTTCAGAGAATAAAACTCCATCAAAAACATTCCATTATTCCCCATTTGTGTTCTCGTTCACTAAATTATACTTCTCAACATTTGGAAATCAAAGGTTTGATTAACCAATGCACAAATTATGTATCCACTTATCTAATATTGTAGTCAACTTTCATATTGTTCATTACGTCTATATGACTTAAAGTTGTTTAGAAAAATTCATTTACATCAGATGGGTTTTTGTGGAGATTGTAGTAATTTCAATGGTTAAGATCATGAGTCAGTTGAAGCTAGACCACCATGGAAAACCTGGAAGCACTGGACGGTCGTTTCGTCCTATTGTGAGGCTCCTCAGCAGCGCACATCCACGATCCCATCTCACGAGATTCGAACCCAGAACCTATTGATCTTACTTGCGATTGTTTAACATCTAGACCACTGAGCCTATCGGCATTCAACGGTGTTAATGTCTAACTTCAACTAATCCACACAATTGACCGACACATCCAGCATTGTCTTCAGTGAGTTACTTTATCACTTCTATAAACATTTATGCTTCAGTATTGCTTATCATTAACACCGCTGTATGCCGGCTCAGTGATCTAGTGGTTAAGTGCTCACGCGCGAAACCAATAGGTCCTGTGTTCCAATCTCGCAGGGGGCGAGGTCGTGGATGCGCACTGCTGAGGAGTCCCATACTAGGACGAAACGGCCGTTCAGCACTTCTAGGTTTTCCATGGTGGTCCAGCTTCAACTGACTCATGTTCTTAACCATTTAAAATTCATTTACATTGATGGCTTTTTTCCTTTCTCTTTCTCTCTGTTAAATTCAGGTTGTTTAATTATGTTTACATTTTTTTTGTTTGTTATTTCTCATGTTAATTGTATACTGCCTCATAGGATTTAATTCCTGTATTTCTCATTCGAACCAATATAACACATATACACACACACGCACACAAATATATCAACAAAATGAGGATCTAAAACTGTCTTCTCTCCACCCCCAATTTTTTGTTATCAACCAAGGAAACCACATATGGCAGAGAAATGTGATAATTTTCATAAAAAAACTGTATTGTTTGTTTTAAATTATATTGTGATTAATGATGATATCAAAATGAGATCAACTTCGTTTTAATGACATGGAAAAATGAAAAAAAAATGTGAAAATTAAAAAAAAAAGGAAAACAGAAAAATATTTCGAAAGAAACAAAAAACACATTTTTGTATTTGCATTATGTTTTCTGACCAATTATGTCAGATATTTTGTTGTTTACTCAATAAAGATAAGGTAGAATGATGATGATGGTGATGGTGAGAAAATTGTTCAATGTATAAGTTAACTATGATCTTAATTCAAAAAAAATTCACCTTAATTATGGACAGTTAAATTGTGTATCCGTTCACATTTTGTGTGTGTGTGTGTAGGTGTGGGTAGGTAGGTGTGTGTGTGTGAGAGAGAGATTGTCTGGCAGAAAAGGGAACAGATTACCATTTATTTTCAGAAGCGATTTGTAGAGATTTTAGAAATTTCATGAGTGGATGCGCACTGCTGAGGAGTCCCATATTAGGACGAAACGGCCATTCAGTGCTTCTAGGTTATCCATGGTGGTCTAGCTTCAATCGACTCATGATTTCAATCTGTGAAATATCATTTATTTATTTATTGTAGTTCTTGATTCATGATTTTATTTTTATTAAAAGTCTTGTTTTTTTGTTGTTGCCCACATTTTATTTCTTCATTTCATTGTCTACTGATTATCTTCTTTTTATTTTTGTATCAAGAAGAGAGTATAACAGCTCATGTATATTTGATTTTGTTCATATATAATTTGATTGAGCCCTTTTATTAACTTATTTAACAGACATAGTCATTTGTATAACAACAACTTACCTATACCACTGTACTTCTTATTATTTTCAGTAGTTGAGATCATGATTTAATTAGAG